CCTCCCACCCCCTGGTCGACGCACCGCGGCCCCCGCCCCTAAACAGGCGTCATCGCCGTCATCATGGTGTTCTTCCTCGTAGTCACCCTCGGCCTCGAGGCCTCCCTCCACCACATCAGGGCGTTCCTGCGGCGCCGCCGCAAGGCCGGGCTGCTGGCCGCGGTCAACCACTTGTCTTCAGAGCTGATGCTTCTGGGCGTGGCCTCCCTTATCCTCACGGCGCTCGAGCCCAGCCTGGAGACGGTGTGCCTGCCGGCGCGCAGCCAAATGCGGCCGTGGCTCGACCACGTCCAGGGGTGCGCGTGCTGCCTGCAGCGCACGCATGGCATCTCGGAGTGCTACTTGCAGGCGAGCGGGCGCGGCGGGCGACGGGTTTGTGGTGCGCAAGGGGATCTAATGTAGGGAGCGGGCCGGGGGGAAAGGAGGGCCGACTAGGAGGCGGCCGGAGGTCGCGTGAGGGACTTTGAGGTGTGCAGGGCCACCCATTTTGCAGGGTGGCCAGGTGGTGGCATTTGCAGTATGGGTTGGCGCCAGGCGGCTGAAGCCTAGCCCGCCCCTTGGGGCATCTCATGGCGCCGCCCGCTCCTCTCCCACTCCCTCTGCTGCCCACCGGCCGCCGCCCGCGTTTGCCATTGCAGAGCCGGCAGTGCCCCGTCGACTTTAAGCAGCAGTGCGACGAGGCGCAGGCCAACGGCGCGAAGAGCGCGGTGGTGGGCGGGGCCGGGTCGGAGGTCTTCGGGCCCAAGCACAGGGCGCTGCTGGCCGCCGGCGGCGAGCCGGGCGCCGCGGCGAGCAACTTGACGTTCATGGCCGACGGCGGCGCGGCGGTGGACGACGGCGCGGCCGACGCGGGCGATGACCTCGTATGCGACGGGCCGGCGCAGGCGGTGTGGCCAGAGTGCCAGAACAGGCCTGGTTATGCCCCTGTGGTGACGAGCGACACCGTGGAGGAGGTGCGCCTGTTGTGGGGGCGATCGTGCGGTCACACGTGGGGGCGCCCGTTGGACCACTGCCGCGGCCGTGCAGCTGCCTGGTGCGGCCCGCAGGCCGAGCTGTCGCCCACCGCAGCGCCGCAGTGCCTTTGGCCACCCTGTACGGGCTCCGCCGCTGCCGCTCCTCAGACTGCTGCACTTCCTCCTCCGCTGCAGATCCACATGTTCCTGTTTTTCATCGCGGTCGTGCACATTGCTGTGGGCATCACAGCAATGGTGCTGTCAACCCTCAAGCTCAAGTGAGCCCACATGCTGTGGTTGGGCGGCACGACGCGCAGCATCAATGTGGTCACCCCCGCACAGCAAGTGCATGCCCCCAGGGGATGAGTAACCCCTCACATGGGAGCAGCTGCGCTGGGAGGTAGCAACCTGGCTTTACTTCAGCAACCCTTGGTGTGACAAAGGACTCTGAGACGCGCACGCAGCCAACCTTCGCGTGCTCCCACGGGTTGTTCCCCGCCTGCTCTTTTTCACCAGACTCTGGCGGTATCTATCTGGCCCAGAGGCGGACGACCCATGCATGCAGCGCGCCCTGAGCGTGCGGCGCCTGCTCGCCAGCGGCGCCATGCCCGCGCCGCCGAGCCCGCCGGCGCCCGGCAAAGGCGGGGCGCTGGAGCTGCAGGGCCTGAGCAGGGACTCGGCTGCGGGGGCGGCCGACGGCGGGGCGGCCGGCGGGGCGCAGGGGCCGCATGCGGATGTGGAGGCTGGCGTGGACACAGCTGGCAGGCCCCAGGCGCCAGGTGGCGGCGCTGCTGGGGACGGCAAGGCACCGCCGCCGCGCGGCGGCGCGGGCCGGCATCATGCTTCAGCATCAGAAAGCGGGGACGAGCTAGAGGATGAGGAGGAGGACAGCGAGGAGGAGGCGCGCGAGGCGGCCCTGGTGCAGCTGAGGGTGGAGGGGTTCGGCGCGGCGGCGTGGAGGGGGCGCCCCAAGGAGCTGCAGGTGCGGCGGGCGGCCGGCTGCCGCTCCGGGCGGCGCGCTGGGCAGGGCCTGGCTGTTTGCGGTTGGCAGGTGACGTTGTCCAGGGGCGGCGGAACCCTTGGGCCTGCTGAGCCCTGTGGGTGCTAGCAGATGCGCGACGTGGACGTGCTGCCCCCCTGCCATGCCACCCCTTGAGACGCCCGCTACCCGCGCAGAAGGCTCGGCGATCGTCTGATCATCGCAAAGGCTACAGCCTCTAACCTCCCACAACCTCAGCCTCAGCCCCCACTCCCGTGGTGCCATCACTGACTCTGCTTTGGGTCCTTCTGTATCACCGCGCCGCAGGGCGTGCTGGCCCACTTGGAGGAGGCGTGCGCCGTGATCTGGTCCCAGGTGTCACCCTGGACCGTCACCAGCCAGGAGTTCGCCGTCATGAGGTGACCTGGGAGTGACATGGGGTGACTTGAGGGTGGTGGCGTGCCCGCACTCAAGGGACAGTCGCTGGTTTGAAGCACGTAGGAGAGCGACAAAACTGCCGCGGCGACGCCCCTCGCGGACCGCACCCTAAACTGCTTGATTAGCAACGGCTCGACGCTCCTATGCAGAGGCATACGCCTCGACTGTCGCCTCACAAGACACATTATTTGCCGCCGCCCTTGGTGCCCGTGCAATCCCCCCCTCAGGGCGTCTTTCTTCCTGAGCCACGACCTCGGGCCGTCGCCGCCGGCCACGGCCTTCCAGCCTTATCTGCTGGAGTGTGCAGAGCGCGATGGCGCCCAGGTCGTCGGGCTGGGCCTGGTGACGTGGCTGTTCATCATCTGCTTTGTGCTGCTGTCGAGTGAGTGGGGGTGTCGCCGGGGTGGGGGCTGGGGGCCAGGGGGCCGAGGGAAAGGGGGCACCGCGGTGCGGCAGGGGATGGCGGAGGGGGGCGGATCGCCAGGACGGCTGGATGCGCCTGCATGCACGCCATGGGGTGCCAGGCGGTGGCGCAGTGGTGCACCACAGGAGTGGTCTGATAGTGGCGTCGTCACACAGACGCGCCCACGCAGCAGGGCCTGATCTGGACGCGGCAAATCAGCAAGCGTGCCCGCCCGCGGCGGGCCACCAGCACCCCGACCGCCACTATTACCAACCATGCCTGCGTCGCCCCCACACCCCACCCCACCCCACCCCACCAGGCGCCGTCGGGTGGTGCGCCTGGATCTTCTCCATCGCGGCCGGCGTCATCCTGTTGTTAGTCAACACGTACCTCGTCATCACCGTCCGCAAGATGACGCGCGGCGGCGCGGTGCGCGTGCTGCAGGCCACGCCGCTGTGGCGGCGCCACCGGTGGCTGCTGCTGCTGATCAAGCTGCTGCTCTTCCTCCTGTCCTTCGTCGTCTCAAACTCGGTGGGTTGCGCCTGCGCGCCTAGCTGCTGCTGTGACCGATTGCGCCGAGACGGATCCTGTGGTCGCCCCTAGACTGGGGTTGCATGAACATGCTTGCTGCCAAGCAGGGTGCAGCCAACAGCTGTCCTCATCTCGCTGCGCATGCGTGCCGCCTTGGCCTTTCGCCCCTGGCCCCAGGTGTTTTTCGGGGTCTTCTTTGGCCCAGAGAGCTGCTTCTTCTCGCGCACTGGTAGGCTGGCGACCAGGGGCACCTATTCAACGGTCTGTTCAAGGGCTCAGCACAGGGGCGAGGGTACACAAACCGCTGCGAGCCATGAATTTGCCTTGGAGGGCACAGGGCCAGAGATCATCCCCGTTGTTGCGCTCGACCACGCCCTCCAGAGCAGCGCTCAGACCCGGCCATGGCGGCACGCCTTGCCCCTCGGCGCCCCGTCCTCCGCGCAGGTTTCCAGAAAAACCCTGTCAGCTGGTGGGTCATCCTCCTGTGCGACGTGGTGATGATCCTCAGCGTGTCACTAGTGACGCTGCCGCTGTACGCGCTCGTCGCGCACACCAGGTACCTCCATTCGTCGGTCTTCCACGGGCAGCAGCAGCGCCTCGCGGGCGGGAACGCTAGGCCCTCTGGCAAACACAGGGGGTGAACGCGGACACAGCGGCGCACACTTTTGCGGCACGAGCCAGACTTGCCATGTAGCAAATAGGTAGTGTACCATACAAGCCTTGCTAGTGACTTTTTGTGGAGCTAGTGACTTTTTCCTCGTAACCACAGTGCCTGCGCACACATTTGTATCTGAACGAGCGACAAAATTGAAAGACAGCTTCCACCCCTGGGCTGTCGTGCCAATTCACAATGATGCTTGGGCAGGTCCCTTTTGGATGTCTTTGCTTGCTTGGCGCAACTGCATTTGATTGTGGCGGCAAAAAATGTGTGGGTAACCATATCGCATGCAGGCTTAATGATGCCCAATCATTGACTTGCTTCACGTCTTGATTGCGGCGCCTCAAATCAATGTGCCACATGCGGGCCTTCATGATATTGGAAGACTTGTACATCAGTCCATCCCCAGCTGCAAGTAGACGCCTGTGTGCTTGTTGTATGCACCCTGGCGTGAGACGAGCTGTGTGGAGGGGCAGGCCGGCGGCACGTGGAGCCAGCACACGACCATGCGCCACGCTTTGCACGCGAGACATGCGATTGTTAAATCCCGCACAGGGGGCGCAGACCCCCGTGCAGGAAGGCCTGGCAGGCTGCGTGGCTCGTGTCGCCGAAGGGCTTGGCTTCTTCATGGCCTGATTGCCAGCAGGGAGTCTTGGGTCTTCCCCCCAGGGCAGCCTGGCTGTTCGGGCTCAGCCAGAAAGTAATAGAACGCGCAGGATTATACCTTGGCCGCCAAATGCCGCCCCTCCTGAACAGACAGAGCCGTGTCGCCCGTGTGGCGTGCGCCCGGTGACGGGTGACCCGCATCAGTTGTCCGAGCCCAAAATCATGCAATAAAGTGGGAGCGTACAATTTCAAAAGCCTTTGCTCTGGCAGGAAATCCTCCGAGGTTTGTGCTAACTGGCATATGGGCCCCTAGTGCTGCGGGTGCACATGCTGGTTGCATGACTGAGCAACTGGCGCGCAGCGTCAACCGACACAGCAAAGAGGACGGGCTCACATTTTGCATGTATCACTTTTTTGACAGTGATTACACCGTATTCTATGCATGCAATGTTACTGGTCCAGCGCAATATACACAGTGCTTCACAGCTGCACATTGCCGTCTCGTAGATCTACTCACACGAGTCGACGGTGCATTGTAAGGTGCCAAATAGACTTCGATGCTCCGAAACCCCGGCTCTTAGAGCGGTGGTTTCGGCCAACTCTCATGATCTGCGAGCAGGCAATGACTTCACGGTTCTCAGGTTCCCGCAAAATCAATAGGTCCTGATTCTAATACTTGTACGCCATGGCGTGCAGCTTGGCGTAGACGAGATCGAAACTAGAAGAACGTACAGGCTCTGTGCCTGTACTGTCAGGGGCTCACGTATGCTCAGCAAGTCCTCATATCAGCTGCAGCACGTTGCGGGCTGCTGGTCCTGAGGACACTGGCCAGTGCGCCTGCCAGGCAGCAGGCGGCGCGCCACACGCCAGTGTGCGCGCCGTGCCGCAGCCGCAGAGGGTATGGCGCGCCCTGGGGTCGGGCCAAGCGGCGGCGGCGGTGGTCAGCCGGAACTGGCGGGGGCGCGGCCGATCGTCAGCATTGCACATGTGATCGAGTCGGTGGCCCACCGCGTGCAGTCGCAATTTGCCGAGCTCATCGGCGAGCTGCCCTTGCAGCGCCCCGATGCCAGGTGAGCCCATGCTGCACCAGCAGCCACTTGCTTGTGCGCTTCACAAGGGATCGCTGGCGCTTCAACTGCCATGCTGGCGTGTCAACCGCCATGCGCCATGGATTGGAGAGCCGGGGGCGTGCTCCCTGCCC